TCTGTGTGTGTGTCTGTGTATCTGTGTTTGTCACTGTGTGTCTGTGTGTGTGTGTCTGTGTGTGTGTCTGTGTCTGTGTGTCACTGTGTGTGTGTGTCTGTGTATCTGTGTGTGTGTGTGTGCGTGTGTCTGTGTCTGTGTGTGTATCTCTGTGTGTCACTGTGTGTCTGTGTGTGTGCATCTCTGTGTGTCTGTGTGTGTCTGTGTGTGTATCTCTGTGTGTGTGTGTGTCTGTGTCTGTGTGTGTATCTCTGTGTGTCTGTGTGTGTCTGTGTGTGTATCTGTGTGTGTGTGTCTGTGTCTGTGTGTGTGTCACTGTGTGTCTGTGTGTGTATCTCTGTGTGTCACTGTGTCTGTGTGTGTATCTCTGTGTGTCACTGTGTCTGTGTGTGTATCTCTGTGTCTGTGTGTGTCTGTGTCTGTGTGTGTATCTCTGTGTGTCACTGTGTCTGTGTGTGTATCTCTGTGTGTCACTGTGTCTGTGTGTGTATCTCTGTGTCTGTGTGTGTCTGTGTCTGTGTGTGTATCTCTGTGTCTGTGTGTGTCTGTGTCTGTGTGTGTATCTCTGTGTCTGTGTGTGTCTGTGTCTGTGTGTGTATCTCTGTGTGTGTCACTGTGTGTGTGTGTATCTCTGTGTCTGTGTGTGTGTCTGTGTCTGTGTGTGTATCTCTGTCTGTGTGTCTGTGTGTGTGTATCTCTGTGTCTCTGTGTGTGTCTGTGTCTGTGTGTGTATCTCTGTCTGTGTGTCACTGTGTCTGTGTGTGTGTATCTCTGTGTCTCTGTGTGTGTGTCTGTGTGTGTGTGTGGCAGAGCTGCTTTCTGTGTGTGTTCTGGACCTGGACCCCTTGCTAGAGAACCTGATCTGCAGTCCTTTCTCTCCTTCCTCAGGTGGCTTGTCTTTCACCTTCTTGATGGTGTGCTTTGCAGTGTAGAGGTTTCTGGCTTTAGCCCTGGCCGGTTTGGCTCAGTGGATGGAGCGCCGGCCTGCAGGAGGGGGTGATGGAGAAGGTGGTGGAACAGGACCAGTGGGGTGATGGAGGGTGCAGGCAGGGTAGCACGTGCATGTGGGGGGTACGCCCAGCTCTGTGAGCTTCCCATGGGCGGTCCCTGCTCACCCAGGCAGGCATGTGCCTTCACCCTTGAAGTTGGGGGGCCCTCTCTCTCTGGGGGGGCCCCAGCCTGTCTTCTCCCAGCACCGACACCTCCGCCCTGTGCAGCCTGTCAGCTGGACTCGTGGTGCAAAGCAGGTAGCTGACCAGAGCGCGGGACATGCCTGCTCGCAGGCGTGCGTGGAGGCGACCAGCTGTGCAGGCACCGGCTTCCTCCGGGCCAGCTCACTCGACTTCGTGGCGCTGAAGCAGATCTGGCAGGTGCCGCTGCAGGACACGCGGGGGGGCTGGGTGCGCGTGCTGTTTTGGCTCTGGGGTGTGACCCTCTCTGCTGAAGGCGCTCCGACACCCGTGTCTGGCAGTTTGACGGGCTGTCGGCACTGAGTGGGCAGTGAGCGGGAAAGCTGTGGCCTGGGACCCTTCGTTTGGGTTTTAATTAGTAATTAGGCATTAATTAGATGTGCAGGTGTCCGAGAGCCAGGGAGTGACTGTCCCTGCCTGGCGTCTGACCCAGCCTGTGAGGGGCCTGGCCGCAGGGCTCCTAGGCCGCAGGGCGTGCGGACAGGGTCAGCCTGCCAGTCCCTCGGAGCCGTGTGTGGCTCTCGGTGCCGTCTTGGTTGTGGTGAGTTCGCCACCGCCTCTCGGGGTGGCACCCTCCTGGGCTTCACGTCGGGGGCGTCGGGGTGTTTGTCCCATTTGGTCCCCTAATCCTAACCCTAGAGCCGCGGTGGGCAAACTGCAGCCCGCGAGCCACATGCGGCTCTTTGGCCCCTTGAGTGTGGCTCTTCCACAAAATACCACATGTGGGCGCGCACGTACAGTGCGATTGAAACTTCGCAGTCCATGCGCAGAAGTCGGTGTTTTGTGGAAGAGCCACACTCAAGGGGCCAAAGAGCCGCATGTGGCTCGTGAGCCGCAGTTTGCCCACCGCGGCCCTAGAGGACCTGGAGGACTCTGCTCCTCGGACAGGAGGTCCTCGAGGGTCGTCGCTCACAGGGGGCGGCCCGTCTCCCCTCCCGGCCTCGCCCAGTGCCTGCAGCCTGGGGCCAGGATGGTGTGAGCACTGTGGCCTGGCTGCCGCCCAGATGGCCTGCCCTCCTGCCCACCGGTCCGTGCTCAGTTTCACACCAGGGTCTCAGCTGGACAATGGTGTCACTTCTTCTGCGGGATCCCTCACCCTGCACAGCCCTTCCTGCAGCTGTGTCAGCCCCCAGGAGCCGGCCCTGGGGCAGGGCGCTCAGGGTCCAGGTGTTGTTCCTTCTGCAGGGATGCGCTCAGTGGGACCAGCTCTCTGTTGGCCTTCTGCCCTGCCGGGTCCCCCAGCCCCAGCACCTGGTGTGGGAGGCCCTGGGCGTCCCTGGGTGGGGGGTCTGCGTGCACACTGCCTTGACCAGGAAGTGCCAAACCCCGAAGGTGCGGGCATCCCTGCACACCCTGCCCAGAGGCTGGGGCTGGGGCTGGGGCTGGGGCTGGGGCGGGGCTGATGGGCTTGCAGGTGGGTGTGGCCATTGCAGGTGGGTGTGGCCGCTGCCCCAGGCTGTCTGACACCCCCTCTTACTCCCCCCCCTTGTCTCCCTCCCTGAGGTTTCTCGGAATCGGCGCCTGTGGCTTTTCTCTTGGTGAGAACCCGGCTTGTTTCCTCCCGCGTCCTATCCGCTCAGACAGGAAGCCCCACCCTTGCCCTGTAACCCGCCCCCCACCGTCTGTGCTCAGGTGGCGGGCACCCGCCAGTGCAGGCAGAGGTCGGCCCACTGGCACCCTCATGGGGCGTCTCCCCGAAAAGGCCACACCCCATGGGTCTTTCCCGAGTGCTGGTCTCCATCAGGTCCGTTGCTCTGTGCTGCCGGGACCGCCCTCCTGGCCCCACGTGTTGGGGGTCATTGTCCTGTTAACGTCAAAATCCACTGAAACCTGTAAAGAATTGTTGTGAGTTTATTTGAGCCAAATTGTTGACATACGCTGGGAAGCAGAACCTCAACGCATTGAGATAGTGCTCCGGAGAATGGCGGGTTACATCTGTATTTATACATTTGCAATCAAAGGAGGGACGGAGGTGGGTTACATGAAATCCACTGGTGACAGATTAAGGAGGAGGGATAGAGCCAAGCGGGGAAACCCCTGGGATTGGATAAAAAGTAAAATGATGGACACATGCTTAGGTGGGTGCAGGAACAATTAACATGATGATGAAGGAATCTGTGGTCTCTGTCCTGGCGCCCAGCACATTAGGTTGTGCCCCAGGGGCTCCACAAAAAGGGAAGTTACAAGTTACCCAGACATTTCACAGGGATGTTATCATAGATGCAAAAAGACTGATAGGCTCCGTTAAGGTAAAGGTTGACCTTGTCAGTGAAGATACTGGCCTAGGAGGTGACCACCCACCATCACTGCGTTAGTTCAAGTTTAATTTCAGACCATCCTTTGTGGTGACTTTAGGTCTCTGAGTTTGCAAGACCGCCATGCAGGCCTCCCCTGAGCTGGTCAGGTCAGCATGTGGCCCCTTTTGTCCACAGTCCTCCCGGGGCTGGAGGGCTGCCTGCTTCCTGGAGTGGAATTTGGGGGTGAGGCTCCCTGGCCCCAACCCACACCCTGTCTCTTGAGCGGAAAGGGGCTGCAGGACCAATGGCTGCCCCGCGGCAGGGTGCAGGCGCCTGTCACGTGCTGCTCACTCACTCCGTGGGCCTGGACAGGACCTTCCCCTGGAGCCCTCGGTCCATGGTCCCTGCCCCGGGTCCGGCCGGCCCAGGTCTCCTGTTTCGTAGTGACAGCCTTGGTGAGCAGCACTGTGACCGACCGCCTCCCCCCACCCGCAGGGAAGCCCCACCCCTCGGGGCCAGTTCTGTGGCACAACACTGTCTCCCAGCGCTCCCGGCGGGGGAGGGAGTGGCAGCCCCTCGCCCTCAGTGGGTGTTTTTGGCCCGTGGTGTGGATGCAGGCACAGCGGCTCTGGGTGCCCCCGTCTTCTGGACACGCCCAGGCCCCTTGTACCTTGGGAGTCGAGACCCTGTGTCCCCCAGGAGCCCACCTGGGCCCCCAGTGCCAGGAAGCTGAGCTCACCTGGTGTGAGCAGTGCCTCTGTTTTGATGTTTTCTCGGAGGGCTCATTGCTGCAGGCCGCTCACCCCACCCCACGGTGCAGGCCAGAAGCAGCTTTGGAAGCTCGTCCTGTTTGGTGAAATCCAGAACTCGGGGGGAGCCGTGGGACACCCAGGGAAGCTTCGGCTGCTGACAAGCACACTCGGCCTGGGGGTCTGTCCCCCGGGCGTCTGTCCCCCCGGGGGTCTGTCCTCTGGGGGTTTGTCCTCTGGGGGTCTGCCCCTGGGGGTCTGCCCCTGGGAGTCTGTCCTCTGGGGGTTTGTCCCCTGGGCGTCTGTCCTCTGGGGGTTTGTCCTCTGGGGGTCTGCCCCTGGGGGTCTGCCCCTGGGAGTCTGTCCTCTGGGGGTTTGTCCCCTGGGCGTCTGTCCTCTGGGGGTTTGTCCTCTGAGGGTCTGCCCCTGGGGGTCTGTCCTCTGGGCGTCTGTCCTCTGGGGGTTTGTCCTCTGGGGGTCTGCCCCTGGGAGTCTGTCCTCTGGGGGTTTGTCCCCTGGGCGTCTGTCCTCTGGGGGTTTGTCCTCTGAGGGTCTGCCCCTGGGGGTCTGCCCCTGGAAGTCTGTCCTCTGGGCGTCTGTCCTCTGGGGGTCTGCCCCTGGGGGCTTCCCGGACAGGCCACTGGGCCGGGGAGTGGGGCTGGTCAGCGCAGACTTTGGAAGGCCCTGGGCTGCTGCTGTGTGGGGCACCGCGGGGTGATGGTGAGGGCCCCACGCAGCGCACCAGTGGAGTCTGCTGGTTGGGGGGGCCCTCCCAGGGCGTGGGCGTCCCCAGGTGCCAACGGGAACATTTGTGTCGCTCACAGGTCTCCTCTGAGCCCCCCGTCTCCATCAGAAAAACAGACGATGCTCCCTCCCAGCACCCCACGTCTTCTGAGAAGGACAAACAGTCCAGCTGGCTGCGGACCCTGGCCAGCTCCTCCAGCAAGGTCTGCGCAGGGCGGGGCGGGCGCGGGGCGGGGCCTGCGGAGGGGGCGGGGTAGGGGCGGTGCGTGATGGGCGGGGCGGGGCCTGCGGAGGGGGCGGGGTAGGGGCGGTGCGTGATGGGTGGGGCGGGGCCTGTGGGCGGGGCCACCAGCGCAATGCACTGGCCTCTGATACCAGGCTCCTCCCTCTCCCCCCGGCAGAGCCTGGGCTGTGCTCACCCTCGCCAGCGCCTCTCCGCCTTCCGACCCTGGTCCCCTGCCGTCTCTGCCAGTGACAAGGAGCTCTCCCCCCACCTCCCAGCCCTGATTCGAGACAGGTAAGGGGCCGGCTGCTCAGCGGCCAGCGGTCCCCGCAGGCCTGGGCACCGCTGGACTCTGCAGCCTCCGAGTCAGTGGTCAGCTCCCTACTGAGCTGCCCGCCAGGACGACCTCAGGCAGCTGCCTGTGAGGCCGGGTGTGCTCCCACCTGCGTGCGCAGCCCTGCCACACGCTCCCGCAGCCTGGCTGCCTGCTACCTGAGCCTCCATGGGCCGGGGCAGTGGGACCCGCCTTAGGTTTTTTTGTTGTTATTTGCTTTTTAGTGAATCCTCACCCAAGGGCATTTTTCCCCATTGATTTTTAGAGAGTGAAAGGGAGTGGGCGGGGGCGGGGGGGGGGGGCATCCATGTGAGACACATCGATGGTTTGTCTCCTTCCTGCACGTGCCCCGGGGCTGGGGATCGAACCTGCAACCGAGTTACATGCCCTTGACTGGGAGTCAAACCTGTGACCCTTTGGTCCACAGGCTGACACTCTAACCCAGCCGTGGGCAAACTACGGCCCGCGGGCCGGATCTGGCCCGTTTGAAATGAATAAAACTAAAAAAAAAAAAAAAAGACCGTACCCTTTTATGTAATGATGTTTACTTTGAATTTATATTAGTTCACACAAACACTCCATCCATGCTTTTGTTCTGGCCCTCCGGTCCAGTTTAAGAACCCCTTGTGGCCCTCGAGTCAAAAAGTTTGCCCACCCCTGCTCTAACCACTGAGCTAACCAGCCAGGGCCCACCTCTCATTTGAGTGACCCTGGGCGTCTGTGCCTGGCGTGTGGTGGGTGTAGGCTTCCCGATGCCCAGGCCCCAGCTGTCCAGCCATTGCCAGTTGGCCGCTGTGATGGGCGTCAGGAAGAGCTGGTCTGGAACTTCCTGTGGAGTCAGGGTTGGCTGCAGCCGTGGCAGCCAGTGTTGGTTTCAGCCCCGGGCCCTGCTGGCGTCTCCCTCACACCTTCCGTGCTGAGCACTCGCCTGCTGGTCGGCGCTGACAGCCCCCCCACCCCATGCCTCCGCCCCTGCAGCTTTTACTCCTACAAGAGCTTCGAGACCGGTGTGGCCCCCAACGTGGCCCTGGCCCCACCGGCCCAGCAGAAGGTGGTGAGCAGCCCACCGTGTGCCACCATCGTCTCCCGGGCCCCCGAGCCCCTCGCCACCTGCATCCAGCCACGGAAGCGGAAGTTGGCAGTGGACACACCTGGGGCCACAGAGACGCAGGCGCCCACAGTTACCCCGGAGGACGACAAGGACTCAGAGGCAGAGGTGGAGGTGGAGAGCAGAGAGGAATGTACGTGTGAGCCGCCTGCTGCCCCGGCGGCCAGCCCCTCGCCCCGGCGGCCAGCCCTTCCGGGAGGGGGTGGCGCGAGCTCCCCCGTAACTGGCACCTGTTTGTTTCCACAGTCACCTCCTCCCTGTCCTCGCTCTCCTCTCCGTCCTTTACCTCGTCCAGCTCAGCCAAGGACCTGAGCTCCCCAGGGGTGCATGCCCCCCTTGCCCCCCCCACAGCCCCGGACACCTCGGTCCCCACCGACACCCCGAGTGGGGGGCTGGAGGCGGAGCTGGAGCACCTGCGTCAAGCCCTGGAGGGCGGCCTGGACACCAAGGAGGCCAAAGAGAAGTTCCTGCACGAGGTGGTGAAGATGCGCGTGAAGCAGGAGGAGAAGCTGAGCGCCGCCCTGCAGGCCAAGCGCAGCCTCCACCAGGTGACAGCGGGCAGGGCTTTGCGGGCTCCTCAGCCTTGTGCCCCAGAAGGAGGGGCCGCCAGCCCCCAGCAGCAGGTGTGCAGGCCCCACACGGTGTCCGCGTGGCCAGGAAGGAGGGCGCAAGGCACGGGCCATGCCCCCCCCACGGCTCTTCCGCACTCACTTTGCCTCTTCCCCCCCCACGGCTCTCCCCCCCCCCCCCACGGCTCTCTCCCCCCCCCCACGGCTCTCCCCCCACACACACGACTCTCCACACACACACATGGCTCCCCCCCCACACACACGGCTCTTCCTCCCCTCCACGTCTCCCCCCCCCCCCACGGCTCTTCCTCCCCCCCACGGCTCTCCCCCCCCCGCCACGGCTCTTCCTCCCCCCCACGGCTCTCCCCCCCCTCAAGGCTCTCCCACACACACACTGCCTCTCCCTCCCTCACCAGGTCTAGGCAACCCCACAGAAGTGACTTTCTTGTGACAAGGGAGCTGGAGGCTTGAAGCCGTCTGGGCCCCAGCGGCACCCTCGTCCCCCAAGCAGGGCAGACAGGACAGGACCCCTGTGGGTCCTGGAGCTCAGCCAGTCTCCCCACGGCTGTCCCCGGCTTGCTTGCTGCTTCTCTGACGAGTGGGGAGGCTGAGTGAGTTCCCAGCGCCTGGGGAGGGCGGGGCCTTCACACCAGCTTTGGTGAATTCACACCTCTGCTGGCGTCTGGCAGCTCCGGACAGCTTCACACGTGGGCTGCTAGCACAACACAACCCTGCGGTCTCGAGAGCCCCAGGATAGCGGGCGCCCCCTCTAAGCGTATTTCAGGCACCAGGCTCTGTGCTCCACTGCCCTCCCCTCCCTGGCGCTGCCCTCCGGCCTGGCTCTGGTGGCGGTGTGACTCCCACATGCATATTTATGAGCGTGTTTGCAGGGTGCGTCACAGATAACCAGCTGGAGCAGCGGGGAAGGGGCTGCCTCCCTCTGGCTCGGTGCCACCTGCCACTGGCGCTGAGGGAACCCCTGGCTGCAAAGAAGCCCCAGGGGCTGGGCACCGTGGGCACGGAGGGAACTCGGGGAGAAGGCGGTCCAGGCTCCGCAGCAGCTTCTAAGTGCAGCAGCCTCCTGGCCAGACCCCAGGCCCAGAGTGGGTGCTGGGACCCCAGGCCCAGAGTGGGTGCTGGTGAGAGCGGAGCCCTGGCACGCAGGGGGTGAGAGCCCTGAGGCTGCGGGACCTTGCTGGGACCCGTCAACGTGCAGGGAGACAGGAGGGTGTGGAGGCAGAGAGGAGCCCAGTGGTGGCACTTCCTGGATCACAGGTGCCGTGGAGCGGCCAGAGTGCGCCTGGAGGGCAGGCCTGTGTGTCTGTGTACGTCTGTGTCTGTGTGCATGTCTGTGTGCACGTGTCTGTGTGTCTGTACATGCGTGTATGTGCACATCTGTGCGCGCGCATGTCTGTGTGTGCGTGTCTGTATGCATGTGCCTATGTCTGTGTGTGTGTCTGTACATGCGTGTATGTGCACGTCTGTGTGTGTGTGTGTATCTGCCTGGCTTGCCCGCAGGCCTGTTCCCCGTGGGAGTGGGTGGGGGCGGAGCGGGGAGCCCGAGGCGGTCGGGCCGCGGTGACCGAGCTGCCGCACAGGAGCTGGAGTTCCTGCGCGTGGCCAAGAAGGAGAAGCTGCGGGAGGCCACGGAGGCGAAGCGCAACCTGCGGAAGGAGATCGAGCGCCTCCGCGCCGAGAACGAGAAGAAGATGAAGGAGGCCAACGAGGCGCGGCTGCGCCTGAAGCGGGAGCTGGAGCAGGCGCGGCAGGTCCGGGTGTGCGACAAGGGCTGCGAGGCCGGCCGCCTGCGCGCCAAGTACTCCGCCCAGGTGCGCGGGCGGGCGGGCCGGCCGGGGGGCGCAGGGATCCCCTCCCGCGCGGCCCCCTTGCGGGCAGTGGGCTGGGTGGCCTCTCCACCGGCCTCGCTGAGGCCCCAGGCACTGCTGCCCCGAGTCCCCGCCTTGGGCTCCGCGTGCCCAGCGGGCGGCTGGCGTGGGTCCAGACGGGCACCCTGGAGGCCCTCCCGGCGCCGGTGATGGCCGGGCGTGGGGGCGCTGACACGGGTTTCCTTGCAGATCGAGGACCTGCAGGTGAAGCTGCAGCACGCAGAGGCCGACCGCGAGCAGCTGCGCGCAGACCTGCTGCGGGAGCGCGAGGCCCGCGAGCACCTGGAGAAGGTGGTGAAGGAGCTGCAGGAGCAGCTGTGGCCGCGGCCCCGCCCCGAGGCCGCGGGCAGCGAGAGCGCCACGGAGCTGGATCCCTAGTGGACCCCCTGCGTCCTGTCCCGGTTTGGACCCTGTGGGGAAGGGCCGGCAGTCGCCGCGCCGCGGGGCTCTGCGTGGGTGGGCCCGCCCGCCCTCCTCCCGGCCCAGATAGCACAACGTCTTACTGTGCCTCCACCAAGCGAGTGTTTGGAACCACATTCTTTTGGAATCCACAGCAAATTTTCTACTGGCCAAGTTCAGGCGCAAGCGGGCCCCACCGCAGCCGGCCGGCCACTGGGCCACGGGCCTCCGCTTGCCTGGGACATCCTAACATTACACTTTTGTTATAAGCTATTTAAAACCAATAAGGAGACTTGGTATTCAGAAAAAAAATCAACACGTTTTTTAATGACTAACTTTTAAAAGCCCCACCACCACGTGACGCCATCGGGACCCCAAGGGAGCCGGGGCGGCGCCCGGCAAAGCCATCACAGCTCCTCGGCCCGCGGCTGCATGAGGACAGGGAGGGTTTTTCTCCAGAGTCTATTTTTTCAGCGACAAGGACCCAGGTCTCCTGTGCTGCCGCGGGGAGGGGAGCGCCCGCGCCGGAGCTGACACTGCCGCCTTAGCCGGCCCGCCCTCGCCACCTGCCGAGGGGACAGGACTGTCCGGCCGCCCGGCCGCAGCGACCTGCTCCGCTGGGCAGATGGCGCTCCGCCAGCCGAGGCCGCAGCAGCAGAACAAAACAGCATTACTTCACTCTCCTTTTTCTCTCGTTCGTTTGTTCATTTAAACGTACACTTAGAACTGCACTTTGTCGGAAACCTTCCCCTGTTTCTCCCCCAGTTGACTGAGGTTCTCACCTTTCAGACGTTGAACCCGCTCTGGCGCGGGCCCGCCTGCCCGCTCGGGCGTCGAGAAGCCCCTCTGGTGCTCGGTTGAACAAGGGAATCACACGGAAACGAAATGCAAAAACTGAACTTCGGGGGTAGTTCTGTGCCTTCCAGCATCTTGTACAGCGAATCCTGACTCGTCTTTACCCCCAGATATCCGTCTTCAGTAGCGATTGAACCTGCCACTATAAGAATAAGTTCCTTGCATTTATTCCAGATAATCTCGTTTACTCTCCGCTGTTGTTTATGCAAATCGTGTAAGGTTTTCCACGCCCAAGCTTGAAAGTGATTTCCCGGGAGACGGGCGCTGCCCACCGGAGATGACGGTATTTGCGGACGAGGAAGATCTTACCGGAGTCTTCGCAGTCTCCGTCCTGACGCCACCGCAGCTGCGCCGTCGGGCGGGGACGTGGGTGCGACATCCCCTGCGGGTCGCCCTGGGTTTACTGGGGGCCTGGGTGCCGCTGGGCCCCCTTCTGAAGTGCAATGCAAAAGGGACACCGTGATCGCAGCGAGCGTTTGGGTTTTTTTCTTTTCGCTTTGTTGTTCTTTTGCAGTTATTAAACCTGTATGCATGGAATTCAACCTCTGCCACACGTGCACCCCTCGATGGGCATTATTACCGTGTCGTGTAAAGGGTCAGTTAGGCAACTCTCAGAATGCGTGTCAGCCTTGTTTTTCTAGTCGTGTTTTTTTCAGCCCCTTTTCAAGGGAACTAAACGGTGTAGCTGGAGCTTGTGCGTGTGGGTGCGCTTCTGTGGGGCCGGGCGGGCTCCGGAGGGAGACGCGACCTCCAGTTGGACACGAGGGAGCCACCTGTCCGTCCCCTGGCACTGTCCCCCCCCAGTCACCCACGCCTCTGCCAGCTGTGTCCCCAAACGCCAGGGGGAAGAGGTAGACACGCAGTGGCTACTTGTCCCCAGGAGCCGGGGGGATGGGGCCCTGGGCAGGCCCTGTCCCACCCAGGCCTGGGGGGGAGCGACGGGGCGGGAGGCACACGGGCGGCTCCCCTTCACCAGCAGCTCAGCCTTCCTGGGCAGCTCCCTGGGCGAGGCCGGGGCAGGGGTGCCCGGCAGCTCCACCCTGTGGTGCAGCTCACACAGGCCCAGCCCCCTCCCTGGTGCAGCTGCGGCCCTGCCCTTCCCCAGGGAGTGGGTGTCCTGTGGGCAGGTGACCAGGTGTGACACCGTCCGACTGTGTAGCCGAGTCGCTCGCCTTCCTCTGCCCGGAGAGGCTTCCCGAAGGGAAACACAACAGCAATAACAATCCACGGGCAGCTAACCCTTCCCGCCTCCGCCTCGCCAGCTGGCCGGGCGACGCCCGGAGACTCCGTTATACCCTCACCACCCGTGTACGCGGGGGTTCCAGAAGCCCCTCTCCTACCCGGGAGCCGTCCTGTGTCCTGGGCCGTCGTAACGGGACCTGCTCCTCTGCGGGACGGGGACGCCCTGCCCGTGGGTCCCGAGGAAGCTTGTCCGTCCGACAGCAGGAGTCGCAACGACCTTTTCTTCAATTAAGGAAAAACGCAGCTCTACCTGTGTCCCCGCCAGGAGCACCCACCGCGCCCCGTCCTCTCCTTTGCTGCTGCTAACGACAATACGACTTACTCTACGATTCGAAAGCTATTTTTATGTAATTAATGTATGCGCTCTTGTTTATAAATGCCTGATTTAAAGAGAAAGAAAGCTTGGCATATTTATCGCCTTCGCTCTGTGCCCGCTCGCCCTTCGGCGCCCCTCCCCCGACGTGACCTTGTACAATAAAGGACTTTGAGAGGACACGCGGCCGCCGTGCTCGCCCACCGGAGCCCAGGGAGGGGAAGGGGCGGCTGCCAGGTCCACCCCCACCCCCACCCCGGTCACGATGAGCTGCGCCTCCTGGTGCCCGGGACATCCGCTCGAGGCCCTGCTCAGCCTCCATGGGGCCTGTGAGGCCTCGTCCCCCACAGAGCATGTCTTTCACGGGGCGGGGAACGGTGTCAGGGCCCTGGACCCCAAGTGTGGCCCTGGGGGAGAAGCAGGGCCCTCTCCATGCCGCCTCGCTTCCCCGGAGGCTCCGCAGACCCCGCTGTGCTGGGCCTCCCGCCCGCCCCGGCCCCTCGCTGGTCCTCCAGGCGGCGGGAGCGCAGGTGCAGCCGGCACAGGCCCTGTCTCCTGCAACCGGGAAGCCCCCCAGCCTGAGCCCAGAAGTGCTGGTGCACACAGATCCCCCCTGGTCCCCAGGTGCAGGTGGCCAGCCCAGTGTCCTGAGAAGGCCACGCCCCCCCCCCCAGGTCTGGTCAGGCTGGGTTGAGGGGGAACGGGGCCCAGGAGAGAGCTCCACACCCGAGGCCACTGTTGCTATAGCCCCTGCCAAGACCAGAACCTGGGCCCCAGCAGCTGCCCCTGTGGGTGATGCCTGGGGTCGGAGGCAGGCCAGGTGCCCCCTTCCTGCTGGGCCTGGACCGGGAGCCCTGCCTGGGTGGGTGGCCTCTCAGTGGGGCACTGCTGAGGCCCCGATATCCTCTGCCCCAAGAGCATCCCCCCCAGTGCAGCTGCCCCCCAGGGGTCACCTGGGCCTGGACCCCACCCCCCAGAGGGAGGAGAGGGAGTGAGGGTCTGGTGGTCCCCCCAACACTTTCCACCAGGGGGGCTGCCCTCCCGCCGTCTTCTGAGGTCCCGAGTGACAGCTGTCCATTGTGGCCCATCGGGGTCCCGGGCCCCTGCAGCCGGGGGTGAGCCCAGGAGAGGGCAGCACGGCCATGTGACCTGTGGGCTCGTCTGACCAGTTGCCACCGCTGGGCTCCGGCGCCGCCACTGGCGTCCATCCACCCAGGGCCTGCCCTGTGGGTGCCCAGAGCTCCTCTGAGGCCCGTCCTACCCTCTGCCTCTGAGGGTCTTGCCTTGCCCTTCCCCAAGCACCTGGCCCTCCTGGCCCCCCACCACTCACGTCCAGATGCCACTCGTCCCCCCTCCAGAGAATTGAGGGGTCGGGCCCCGGGGCAGGGGGGCGGAGGTGGGGAGGCAAGGCTGGACAGGAGGTGTGTCCCGGGGGAGGTTGGCCCTGCTGGAGGCCCTGGGCAAGGCGGCCTGGGTCCCTGTGGCCGGCAGGGACTTGGAGCCAGCCCACAGCAGCTTCCTGGCTCCCGGCTCGGCCGCCTGCCCAGGCTGCCCTGGCTCCACTTTGGACTTAAATTCACAGGATTAAAAAGGTCACACACACCCCAGGGCAGGCAGCATGGGGGTCACCTGGCATCAGAACCCCCTTCCCAAAGCCATTCTGGGGGGTCAGGGATCCCCCTGTGGGTTTAGGGGAGAGAAGGTCGGCGCAGGAGAAAGCCCCTCCCCCGATTCCTAGCAGCCCCGGCCTCCAGGACAGGGGAGTGGGCAAAGGCTTGGAGGGGTCAGAGATGGCCCCACCCCCACTTTTGGGCTCCCGGGCCATCCTGCAGCCCAGCCTTCCCTGCTTGGGGCTGGCCCAGCGAGGTTCCCTACTCCCCAAGGCCTGGAGGTGAAGGGAGCCCCGAGTGGAGGGGGTGCTTTTGGGAGCCTCCTGGGGTCCCTGTCCCCACCCCAGCTTTCACTGCCTGCCACCTGCAGCCCAGCTGCCCTCGTCCTCCCTCTCAGCTGTGCCCGCCTGTCTCTAGTCCGTCCTCTGACATGACCTCTTGAGGAGCCCCGGCCGCCGCCACCCCCCATGCCGTGTGGTCAGGGGGCGACCGCAGGTGCAGGACTCGAACCCTGGCCCTCATCTGGGAGGCGGGTGCCGGGCGCGCCCTCCTGGAAAGAGGAAGCCGCCCACTCGCAGCAACAGCTGCACGGCTTCCCCCTCCCCCCCAAGCTGGCCTCAGGGTGGCCCTCGGCCTGCACCCCACCCACACCCGGCCCGCCCTGCGCCCCTCTCCCTCCCCCCTGCCTGTCCTGCCACAGGGTCATCCCTTCTGCTGGTCAAGGAGAGACCAGCCGGAGCCCCGCGGGCAGGCCCGAGTCTGGTCGGGGGGTTCATGAGTGTCCCAGGCCGCTCCCCACACTCTGCGGGCCTGGCCTCTGGGCAGCTGCTGTCCCAGCCCTGGCTGCACACTTGGGGGACCTGGGGGGCCACCACCTACAGGGAGATGGGGATCCTGTAGGAAAAATGGGGGCTGGTCCACCCTTCTGGCCCTCAAAAAGGTGGGGCTGGGACCCTGCTGGGCGGGCCCACTGGGATGAGAAACCAGGGGCTTGGATGGGGTCCCAGACCCTCCCCACGGAAGCCACTGCCCTCTGGGGGCAGCCGCCCCGCCCCCTCCTGCCTGCCCCGCCCATGGCCAGGCCCTGGGAGGGGTGCGGACAGAACGTTTGGGGCCTGGATGCCCGCCAGCCCCTGCCCCCCGCGTAATGATGACGTGCGCCCTGCCGGCCCCATGCACACAGCCATCTGTGCCCAGGCCTGTGCCAGGGGCTGCGGGCCGCGGCTCCGGCCCTGGAGCAGGTGGCCCCACCGCAGGGGGTGGACAGGCAGGTGGAGCCAGCCCGGCTTGTCTTTGGAGCGTCCTGTGCCGGGCAGGTGTCCGGCCGGGCTGGGGTGGGGCCTTCTGCTCTCGCCCGGCCTGGCAGCCGTATGTGCAGGAAGCGTGGCCCAGGTCCCTCCTGCTGCCACGGGGGCCTGTTCCAGGAACCTCCGGGGACAGGGCACCTTGTGAAGGAGGCAGCTGGAGGTCGGGGCTCAGATTCCCATGCCCAGAAGGCCCCCCTCAGAGGACACGTGTCCAGGGCCACCTGAGTCCAGCTCCGGGCCCTGGCAGGGTTGAGAAAGAGGGAAGGCAGGAGAGGCAGCCTGGTGCCCAGCAACAGCCCCTTGGCACTGAACTGCGGCCCAGGGACAGGCCTGGACAGGCGGGCTGCGGCCAGGCCCCGTGTCCACCCGGAAGGCTGTGGGGTGGCCCGGCGTCCGTGTGCTGGTGTGCACAGGGAAGCCAGACCAGCTTGCACGCAGGCTTGGGGGTGTAGGTGTAGCTCCCCCCTTCCTCCGCCCTTCCCTGCTCCCCCCAAATCTGGCCAGGCTCCTTGGGCAGCTGGTGCCCGGCCGGGCCCACTCCCGTGAGCGCCGACTCCCTGGCTGCCCACCCCGGTCTCTATCCTCTGTTTTGGTGGGGTTCCCAGGTCCACAGTGGGGATGGGAGTGGGTAGGCAGTCGTCGGGAGACCCCGAAAGCAGGCTGCACGTCGCGCCCTCCAACGCCAAGCCTCCCAGGCTCTGAAGAGGTGGGCAGCCCTCGCTGGGCCTGGCAGCGGGGTCTGGGGGCTGGGTCAGGCCCTGCTGCTGTGCCTCAGGTTCATGTCTCGGTCAGTCCTGGTTCCCTGTGGAGGCACAACCAGAGCGGCTCCGGTGGGACCAGCAGGCATGTGCCGAGCTGCGAGCACGTATGGGTGGCAGACACGGGGGCAGGAGCTGAGGGGCACAGCCCTCCCGCTGCCCAGTGAGTGGGGGCAGGCCCGGGGGCTCCGCTGGCCAAGAGGAAGGGGCTGGGCCCCAGCCGTGAGGAGACCCAGGTCCCCAGGGGCTGGCAGGACAGAGCCAGGAACCAGAGGGGCAGCCGTACCCCGTCCACGCCAGGGGTCTCCTAGCCGTG